GAAGAAGAAGAAGAAGAAGAAGAAGAAGAAGAAGAAGAAGAAGAAGAAGAAGAAGAAAAAAGAAGAAGAAGAAGAAAGGAGGGAGAGATATACAAAGATTCTAAATTAGCAAATAGTTCAATGGGGTTTATCTGGGTATTGATCATAGAATTTTTTAAGCAGTTGGGGGCTTTGATATGTTGGGAGGTGACCCATTCAGAGTCTGTGGGGGGAACGTCCTACTCTACCAAATACTGGGTTTCCCCCCAATGTATAGAAGAGTCCAAGATGCCTTTGACTTCAAAGTGCTGCTCTCCCTCAATCACAAGGGGTTGAGAGGTGGTTGCTATTCCGGATGGAAAGATGTGATTTCTGGTTTCAACAGGCTGCAATGAAATACTGGGTATACACATATGAGCTTTTTGGCAGCTCAACAATCATTGGGTAATCCTTTTATTGCGGAAAGGGCCAATATATCTCACCCCCAATTTTTGGGATGGTTCTCTAGATCAGTGGTCTCCAACCTTGGCAACTTTAAGGCTTGTGGACTTCAACTCCCAGAGTTCCTCAGCCAGCTTTGCTTAAAGGTCTTAAAGTTGCCAAGGTTGGAGACCACTGCTCTAGATTGTAAGAATTTGGTAGACAGACTTATCTCCCACTTTAAAGTCCTTTAGCTAAAGGTGCTTTTAACGACCTGTTTTTGTATGTTACCCTAGCTTCATCCCAAGCCTCCCCCCACCCCCCGGGGGGAACATGGAGGATATTCCAGATTCCACGGTACTTAAAATTAAGACTTTCCTTATTTAATGGGGATGGTAGGAGAAGAGACCGGGCTGCCCTCGAAAACGGAAAGGAAAAAGACACAGCTAAATGAAATCAAAGTGGAGGCTATTTCTTCTGAATGACTCCCTTCCTGTTGGCCTCCTCCCTGTTTTTGCCCTCGGTTTGTAAGTTTAGGGCACTGCAGAGACAGGAACTGTGTTGACTTTGGCCTCCGGAGGTAGCCTTGCATGCCGGTGCAAACCAAGAAGTAGAAGAGAGTTTGTTGGGAGGCGAAGGACGGAGGGTGGGAGGGAAGAGGCTCCTGTTACAGCTGGCTTTGTTTACCCGCTCAAGCCGAGTCTGAAATAGATGTTTGCGTGGAAACCCCGAGAGAGGGAGGAGGTCGAGCGGGACACGTTACTTTGGGAGAAATGAATCATCCAGGAGTAGACAGTGCGAGGTCGAGGGTAGCAGAGCGCGAACTGCAGAGCGCGGGTGGTTTCGCTCTGCCCCTCTCCAGCCGCCCCCGGCTCCCTTTCTTCCCCAAGCATGGCCGAAACCGGGGGCGGTTTTCTGGAGCAACTCAAGTCCTGCATCCTCTGGTCCTGGACGTACTTGTGGACTCTCTGGTTCTTGGCCATGCTTTTTCTCGTCTACATCTTGAGGGTCCCTTTAAAGATCAGTGACAACCTGACTTCAGGTAACCAACGCGCCTTTTTCCTCTCCTCGCCTAACTTACGCCGAGGGTTTCCGGCTGTGCAGCTCCGGGGTGGCTGGAAGGTGGCGGGTGATGGGTTCTCTGGAGGGAAAAGACTAGAAACTTTCTTTAGAGCCCACCCAGCTCCACGCCGCAGGCTAAAAACACCGTCGCTCTTGATGGCGGGGAAGTGTAACGATTTTCTTCTGCTCCTGTTGTACTTCTTAGGTAGTAAAATTGGAGAGGACTCGGGCTGGGTGTTTGCCCTGGTTTGTTTGTTTCTTCCCTATTAGAAAGAAAAGTAACTCCGTTTCAGCCCCATGAGACTCCGTAGGAGGCATTTTTGAGTCGGGTTATCCAGGTTTTATGCTCACCACCTCCTCCCCAATTTCCTCGTGTAGAGAAAGAGTGGGAACGTTTGGGAAAGCTGGTTGGCTGGTTAGACTGTTCTGATCCAAACTAAAACTGTTATGGAAAAGTATTGGAGGGGTGTTCCTGCACCGGCATGTGACAACAACTATGCACTTTAAACGCCAACCAAACTAGAAAAATCTTTCCAGATCTTGCCTCTATGAGTGTGTAGGGCTGCAGCTTTTAGAGGTTTTGGTCAACATGTTGAGTGGGGATAGGAGGAACCATAATCCTGTCCATAGGTTTGGTGAACAGGCAACTATGGAAGTTCCATTTAACTATCATAATAATCACTACTGTGAGAGTTGGCATGTTTCTTCTACATGAAAGTAGTGAATAAACAGGGCAAAGTGAAGCATTTTCCATGCTACAGGGAAAGACTGTGATTCCACTGCACATCTACAAAAACAAGTAATTGGTAGGGACAGAATGCTGGGTCAACAACAGCAGAAAATTATGACATGCCATAAGTCACAGGCTGATCTTTCCAAGCTCTGGATAGCCTTGCTCCTTGCTCTATTTGATCTCCAGCAGCAGCAACAACATCAGCATGTTGAGCAAGTAGGATAGTGGTCTTGTGGCCAGAACTCTTAACACTTTTCCTTATCCATTTAAAAATGTAGTTATAAATAAGTTATGCTGTATGTCAGACACATAATCACTAATACACCAATATTGGAATGGTATGGAGATTAATGTGTTGTTTGTCATACTGTTTTTAGAACTTTGAAGTGGCATGATGTCAACATACAACAGGTGGTAACAAAGATTAGGACTTGCTTTTGAATATTATTGAGTTATACAGTTTGAATATATCCAGATATTTGTATGAAATAATTCATAAATGCCTAAAAATTAGATCGGGAAGATGAATATTTTGAGATGACTACTTTCACATATATATATTTTACTAAAAATAGTGAAATGCATATGGAAGTTTAAAAGTACAAATATTGGCAGAAAAGTAGAAGCTAGTATGTGGTCTGTTGAAGGAAAGAATGTTTGCTCCAAGAGGCAAAAATGATTGTAAATACTAGTGTGCTTTTCACACTTTGTTATGTGTGTAAATGAGAACCCTTTTGGTGTAGTGGATAAGGGAAACAGGGAGATTGTGACTTCTAGTCCTGCCTTAGGCACAAAACCAACTGGGTGATCTTTGGCCAGTCATTTTCTCTCAACGCTAAGAATAAAACAATGGCAAACCACTTCTGAAAAAACTTGTGAAAAAAACCCCAAAGGGAATTATCCAGGCAGTTTTTGAAAATCAGACATGTCTGAGCAGAAGAAAAAAATGCAGCAAGAAAAAAAATACAAGCATTTAGACTAGGGTTTACACCGACAGACTCTGAAAATCAGTTGGAAAAAAGGGGAAAGGAAAAAACCTAAGTATTTTATCTATTTTGTTTTTAGGTATGTTTTTCTTTTCTTTTTCTTTTTAACATTGATAATAGAACTGCATCTACATGGAGAGAAGTATGCAGTGGGTACCCCAAGTCTCTGTTTTAGGCCCAGTACTCTTCAACATCTTCATCAATGATTTAGATCAGAGGACAGATGAGGAACTCATCAAATTTTCAGACCAAGCTGGCAGTAATAGCCAACGCTCCAGAAGATAGGCTTAAGATACAAAAGAATCTTGACAAACTTGAACATTGGGTCCTATCTAACAAATTAGTGGACTGGAGATTAAAACATATAAAGAACAGTTGCTGGAATTGGGTATATCTACAGGTGAAACTCAAAAAAATAGAATATCTTGCAAAACTTCATTTATTTCAGTAATGTAACTTAAAAGGTGAAATTAATATGTGAGATAGACTCATTACATGCAAAGCAAGATAGTTCAAACTGTGATTAGTCATAATTGTGATGATTATGGCTCATGAAAACCCCAAATCCACAATCTCAGAAAATTAGAATATTGTGAAAAGGTGC